TTCAGATGCCTCATAAGGGCTGTTCAGATGCCTCATAAGGGCTGTTCAGATGCCTCATGAGGGCTGTTCAGATGCCTCATGAGAGCTGTTCAGATGCCTCATGAGAGCTGTTCAGATGCCTCATGAGGGCTGTTCAGATGCCTCATGAGAGCTGTTCAGATGCCTCATGAGGGCTGTTCAGATGCCTCATGAGGGCTGTTCAGATGCCTCATGAGGGCTGTTCAGATGCCTCATGAGAGCTGTTCAGATGCCTCATGAGGGCTGTTCAGATGCCTCATGAGAGCTGTTCAGATGCCTCATAAGGGCTGTTCAGATGCCTCATAAGGGCTGTTCAGATGCCTCATGAGAGCTGTTCAGATGCCTCATGAGGGCTGTTCAGATGCCTCATAAGGGCTGTTCAGATGCCTCATAAGGGCTGTTCAGATGCCTCATGAGGGCTGTTCAGATGCCTCATGAGGGCTGTTCAGATGCCTCATAAGGGCTGTTCAGATGCCTCATAAGGGCTGTTCAGATGCCTCATGAGGGCTGTTCAGATGCCTCATAAGGGCTGTTCAGATGCCTCATAAGGGCTGTTCAGATGCCTCATAAGGGCTGTTCAGATGCCTCATAAGAGCTGTTCAGATGCCTCATAAGAGCTGTTCAGATGCCTCATAAGAGCTGTTCAGATGCCTCATAAGGGCTGTTCAGATGCCTCATGAGGGCTGTTCAGATGCCTCATAAGGGCTGTTCAGATGCCTCATGAGGGCTGTTCAGATGCCTCATAAGGGCTGTTCAGATGCCTCATAAGAGCTGTTCAGATGCCTCATAAGGGCTGTTCAGATGCCTCATAAGAGCTGTTCAGATGCCTCATAAGAGCTGTTCAGATGCCTCATAAGAGCTGTTCAGATGCCTCATAAGGGCTGTTCAGATGCCTCATAAGAGCTGTTTCAGATGCCTCATAAGAGCTGTTCAGATGCCTCATAAGAGCTGTTCAGATGCCTCATAAGAGCTGTTCAGATGCCTCATAAGGGCTGTTCAGATGCCTCATAAGGGCTGTTCAGATGCCTCATGAGGGCTGTTCAGATGCCTCATAAGAGCTGTTCAGATGCCTCATAAGAGCTGTTCAGATGCCTCATAAGAGCTGTTCAGATGCCTCATAAGGGCTGTTCAGATGCCTCATAAGAGCTGTTCAGATGCCTCATAAGAGCTGTTCAGATGCCTCATAAGAGCTGTTCAGATGCCTCATAAGGGCTGTTCAGATGCCTCATAAGGGCTGTTCAGATGCCTCATGAGGGCTGTTCAGATGCCTCATAAGAGCTGTTCAGATGCCTCATAAGAGCTGTTCAGATGCCTCATAAGAGCTGTTCAGATGCCTCATAAGAGCTGTTCAGATGCCTCATAAGGGCTGTTCAGATGCCTCATAAGGGCTGTTCAGATGCCTCATGAGGGCTGTTCAGATGCCTCATAAGGGCTGTTCAGATGCCTCATGAGGGCTGTTCAGATGCCTCATGAGGGCTGTTCAGATGCCTCATAAGAGCTGTTCAGATGCCTCATAAGAGCTGTTCAGATGCCTCATAAGGGCTGTTCAGATGCCTCATAAGGGCTGTTCAGATGCCTCATGAGGGCTGTTCAGATGCCTCATAAGGGCTGTTCAGATGCCTCATAAGGGCTGTTCAGATGCCTCATGAGAGCTGTTCAGATGCCTCATGAGGGCTGTTCAGATGCCTCATAAGGGCTGTGGCGTGTCTTGCCCCCCAGCCTCTGCAATGGCTGGCCCATCAAGCTGGGTCTCCGGTAAGGCAGTCCATTCGTCCCTGTACTCATTACTTTCACAAAGGTTATGTAATATGCAACATGCTGCCACCTGGGTTTTGATCTTGTCCATCTTGCAGTCGTTTCTTTTCATCAAGCACCGCCACCTGCCCTTCAGTCTGCCAAAAGCGTTCTCCACCACCACTCGTGCTCGGCTTGTTTTGTTATTGTACGCAAGTTGCTCAGGCTGCATGAACTCAGTTACAAAGCTGTATAACATGAGCACAAACAGCACAACTTCAGTCGACTCCATCTCCATCATGTCTGAGGTCGGAAACAACAGACGCCTAATGTACAGCGAGTGGGTGGGCGTCGCAGTATACAAGGGAACTTTGTCTTCTTCTTATTCTCTTGTTTTTGTAGCGGATTGCAAACAACTTTAAGGTGCATACCGCCACCTACTGTACTCGCCGTGAAGTGGTTTGTGGCCTGCCAGTAAAGCCAAAGCAGAAGAAGAAGAAGTGACGTCAGCGGCTCATTTGCGTAATCTCCCCTCAGGGAAAAGTACTCCGGTGTGAACGCGATCTGTACTAAGTGCCCTGGGGTAAAAAGCGCCGGGGCACTTAGTGCCGAAACTAAGTACAGCAAAGTACTTGGTGTGAACGCGCCTATTGACAGTATACTCCGGGTGATTTGCCGTACGGTCAGTCGCGAAACGTAATTACATTATAGCTGGCGTAGCGTGTATGCTACCGAGCTAACCAACGGAGCTAGACATGGGTTTGCTCGGGAAAACATTTGTGTTATGCCAGCTACAATGAACGTAGCAGACTACCCGTATAAGATTGCAATTGTAAACACTTTCTTGCTAGCCTAATATGAATCACTAGCTTTTGTTCATAGTGGTTTTATTACACTAAACAAGCCCAGCTTACTGGGCTAACAACGTTGCTAGCGTTTAAATATATCAACTACAATGTCAGCAGATGGCCTTACATGTTTGTCATGGCAGGAGAATGTCTGCAGTCACACACACGGAATACTCATACAGTATACTCCGGGTGATTTACCGTACATTGTGACAGTACATGTACTGCATGTAGCTAACGAGGCTAGCTATACATGCTAGCGCAAAACAATGTATTCATGCCAGTTACAATGAATGACCGAACGTAGCAGAATACCCGTATAAGATTGCAATTATAAACACGTTATTGCTAGCCTAATATGAACCACTAGCTTTTGTTCATAGTAGTTTTATTACACTACATTATAGTTGCCGTTCCTCCGAGCTAGCGTTCATATCGTGTTAGCTACCAAAGTAAACAAAGCTAGGTTAGCATATTAGCTGGCAAGCTTACTGTGTTGATCAGATAGATGGATTAGATAGATCCACACTCCTACCACAACTACTACTAACGAATCTAAAACAACTAAGTTTCTCTAATATTTTGTGATTTGCATTTGATTTCGTCCAGCCAGATCCTGCCGGACAATACATGACGGGACTACCACACTGATGCATCGTCCTAAAAAGCCCCGGCTGCGATAGGCAAGATGCCGACAACGGGGAGGAATTGATGATATACCGTGTATATATGTATATTTATGTTCATTTTGTACATTTCTAAAAATAAAGTTTAATGGAAATACTTAGTAGGCCTATCCTTTCTTCCCTGAATGATTTGCTCCTATAACATATCATTCATATATAGCAAACCATGATTTGATTTCTCATCAAACAGTAGTAGTTTATAACGGGTAAAAATAACTTACTCTTTGTTATGACCGGCTCGTAGGCCACAACGGAAAGACAAGGAGACATACACGAGTTTACAAAACCACGGCACATTTATTGTGGTAAATGCAGAGATAGGTGGTCGAGGGGAGAGGATCGCCGAGTTCGTCCTTCTGCAGCCGCTTTGGAGAGAGACAGGGGCCGCCGGGTGACTCCGGGCAGCTGGCTAGCACCTCGGCTCCGGCCAGGTGTCCGTGATCGCGCTGATTAGCCTCTTCAGCTCCACCCCACCGTAAGACCTGGAACACACCTGCACAAAGGCCCTGGGGCCGTCACACTCTTCTATAACAACAGTTGTAGGTACAGTTCGGTTAGTTAGCGTATAAAATATACGGCTGTACCGACGCCATTATAAGACTGATGTTCTGAGAGCGAGCCGAAAAAAGCACTGTTAGACATGGGCGGAGCCTCTCTGGTGGTTGACTAATCAGAACAGAGTGGCCGAGCTGACCAATCGGAGCACACTAGGCTCACAGGGAGGGGGGGGCAAGAGCTCCAACGAGTCGTTTAGTGGAGAAAGTGAATACTGCTGAATACACATGCTTTACAGAGATGCTGTATGAGAAACCAATGTGAGTTTGGAAAATTGCACAGTATAAATCTATTTTAGTATACCTCAACAATGTGATTATGATCAGTGGAAATGGCCATGACATGGGCCCTTTAAAGATTGACAAAAATGAGTTAAATCAAAAGATACATCTCTACCTGAGGACACACACTCAGACACACACTCTCTACCTGAGGACACACACTCAGACACACACTCTCTACCTGAGGACACACACTCAGACACACACTCTCTACCTGAGAACACACACTCAGACACACACTCTCTACCTGAGGACACACACTCAGACACACACTCTCTACCCGAGGACACACACTCAGACACACACTCTCTACCTGAGGACACACACTCAGACACACACTCTCTACCTGAGGACACACACTCAGACACACACTCTCTACCTGAGGACACACACTCAGACACACACTCTCTACCTGAGGACACACACTCAGACACACACTCTCTACCTGAGAACACACACTCAGACACACACTCTCTACCCGAGGACACACACTCAGACACACACTCTCTACCTGAGGACACACACTCAGACACACACTCTCTACCTGAGGACACACACTCAGACACACACTCTCTACCTGCAGACACACACTCAGACACACACTCAGACACACACTCTACCTGAGGACACACACTCAGACACACACTCTCTACCTGCAGACACACACTCAGACACACACTCAGACACACACTCTACCTGAGGACACACACTCAGACACACACTCTACCTGAGGACACACACTCAGACACACACTCTACCTGAGGACACACACTCAGACACACACTCTACCTGAGGACACACACACTCTCTGCAGCTCACAGTGAACAGATGTGGTTTCTAGTTAAACCAGTTCAGATGTGGTCTCTAGTTCAGATGTGGTCTCCAGTTCAGATGTAAACCAGTTCAGATGTGGTCTCTAGTTCAGATGTGGTCTCTAGTTCAGATGTGGTCTCTAGTTAAACCAGTTCAGATGTAAACCAGTTCAGATGTGGTCTCCAGTTCAGATGTGGTCTCTAGTTAAACCAGTTCAGATGTAAACCAGTTCAGATGTAAACCAGTTCAGATGTAAACCAGTTCAGATGTGGTCTCTAGTTAAACCAGTTCAGATGTAAACCAGTTCAGATGTGGTCTCCAGTTCAGATGTGGTCTCTAGTTAAACCAGTTCAGATGTAAACCAGTTCAGATGTAAACCAGTTCAGATGTAAACCAGTTCAGATGTGGTCTCTAGTTAAACCAGTTCAGATGTAAACCAGTTCAGATGTAAACCAGTTCAGATGTAAACCAGTTCAGATGTGGTCTCTAGTTAAACCAGTTCAGATGTAAACCAGTTCAGATGTGGTCTCCAGTTCAGATGTAAACCAGTTCAGATGTGAACCAGTTCAGATGTGGTCTCCAGTTCAGATGTAAACCAGTTCAGATGTGAACCAGTTCAGATGTGGTCTCCAGTTCAGATGTGGTCTCCAGTTCAGATGTGAACCAGTTCAGATGTGGTCTCCAGTTCAGATGTGAACCAGTTCAGATGTGGTCTCCAGTTCAGATGTGGTCTCCAGTTCAGATGTGGTCTCCAGTTCAGATGTGGTCTCCAGTTCAGATGTGAACCAGTTCAGATGTGGTCTCCAGTTCAGATGTGGTCTCCAGTTCAGATGTAAACCAGTTCAGATGTGGTCTCCAGTTCAGATGTAAACCAGTTCAGATGTGGTCTCCAGTTCAGATGTGGTCTCCAGTTCAGATGTAAACCAGTTCAGATGTAAACCAGTTCAGATGTGGTCTCCAGTTCAGATGTAAACCAGTTCAGATGTAAACCAGTTCAGATGTAAACCAGTTCAGATGTAAACCAGTTCAGATGTGGTCTCCAGTTCAGATGTGGTCTCCAGTTCAGATGTAAACCAGTTCAGATGTAAACCAGTTCAGATGTGGTCTAGTTAGACCAGCGCTCTGAGGAGGAAGGACAGCCCGGCCCCCAGAGCCAGCCCCAGCGAGAGGAAGAAGGCCATGACGGCTCCGGCAGTCTCTGCTTCGTGAGGGAGAACTCTCCTGAAACAACAACAACATCAACATCAACAACAACAACAGGGATCAATGAGTCATCAGGTGAACTGTTGTTTATTCTTTTTATCAGAATCAGAATACCTTTATCAATGTTACATGGTACTCTTTAAAGAGATGTGGGCCGATACAGAGACTCAGTGGAGAATTACACACTGGAGGTACTCTTTAAAGAGATGTGGGCCGGTACAGAGACTCAGTGGAGAATTACACACTGGAGGTACTCTTTAAAGAGATGTGGGCCGATACAGAGACTCAGTGGAGAATTACACACTGGAGGTACTCTTTAAAGAGATGTGGGCCGGTACAGAGACTCAGTGGAGAATTACACACTGGAGGTACTCTTTAAAGAGATGTGGGCCGGTACAGAGACTCAGTGAAGAATTACACACTGGAGGTACTCTTTAAAGAGATGTGGGCCGGTACAGAGACTCAGTGGAGAATTACACACTGGAGGTACTCTTTAAAGAGATGTGGGCCGGTACAGAGACTCAGTGGAGAATTACACACTGGAGGTACTCTTTAAAGAGATGTGGGCCGGTACAGAGACTCAGTGGAGAATTACACACTGGAGGTACTCTTTAAAGAGATGTGATGTCCCATCTGGACAAAAGTAGATGGGATTTTTGTGTGTTTTGTGTTTGTGTTGTTTGTGTTGTTGTGTGTTGTTTTGTGTACTTTGGACCGAAGCACATGCAGAGGCTGGCCAGGTATCCGTTGCTGAAGGCGAAGAGGACCATGAAGAAGATGAACCAGCCATCATGGAGGAAGAACACGGGCAGGTTCAGGCGGGGCTGAACGTTACACAACATGAAGAGAGGCGGGAAAACCAGGCGGCAGACGATGGAAACAGGAAGTATCCTGCTGTCGCTCCGCGGCTGAAACACAGACAATCATCAAGTTACTAACATAGCAGGGTCATCTCCACATATTAACAGCACTTTGTGATGACTACAGCACGGTCACATGACTTCTTGTCACCACCGCTAAGCTAAAGGTGGCTAATGTTGGGCTATAAAGGAACTACAGCACGGTCACATGACTTCTCGTCACCACCGCTAAGCTAAAGGTGGCTAATGTTGGGCTATAAAGGAACTACAGCACGGTCACATGACTTCTCGTCACCACCGCTAAGCTAAAGGAGGCTAATGTTGGGCTATAAAGGAACTACAGCACGGTCACATGACTTTACGTCACCACCGCTAAGCTAAAGGTGGCTAATGTTAGGCTATAAAGGAACTACAGCACGGTCACATGACTTCACGTCACCACCGCCAAGCTAAAGGAGGCTAATGTTGGGCTATAAAGGAACTACAGCACGGTCACATGACTTCACGTCACCACCGCTAAGCTAAAGGTGGCTAATGTTGGGCTATAAAGGAACTACAGCGCGGTCACATGACTTCGCTTTAACCACAGACCTTATTTATGGATAACAACCAAAAACACAGTCAGTAACCATTGACCTCCAGACCAGGGGACAGGAAGTGATGTCAGGGTTCAGGACTCACCCACATACAGAAGGCGGTCAGGGTGCGTCCGGCCCAGTCGCTCAGGTTGAAGAGGAGGAAGCAGCTGACGGGGATGAAGTATCGCTCTGAGGAAGAAACACCATATTATTCTTGTCTCTCTAAATAACTTGTGACGGACGAATACGACTTCCAGCATCAGAAACCATTAAACGTTAAAGTTCTGATGATATTACAACATTTAACTGGGACAGTTCATTACATCAGAGTCTAAAAGTGCCTGTTTTAAAGAGGAGGAACCCTGGATGACTCAGAGCCAGCCGACCAATCACAGGCAGCGTGATGAACTCATGAAACACCACAGAAGAAGAGACTGACCCCAGGACCCCCTGGCCAGCGTGGACTTGGTGTCGGCCGTGATGGCGGGGAACGTGCCGATGGTGACGGTGAAGGTGAAGCACACGGAGAGAGCCAGCAGCCAGATCTGAGGTCAGAGGTCACCGTTACATCACTATGTTATATCAGACTAAATGTGTTTAGATATTCAAACACAAAATAATTCACACTTTTCTCAGAATTTTTAGAATGAAGTCAAAATTCTGACTTTTACTTCAGAATTCTGAAAAAAAACATCTCTGGAATTTTTTTTAAGATTCTCACTTTATATTCAGAAATAAATCTGCATTCTGAGAATAAAGAAAAGTCTACAAAAAAAAATCTGAAACAAAATTCTGAAGAATAATCTTTTTAAATAAAGTCAGAATTGTGAGAAACAGTTTAAACTTTATTTTAATGAAACATTCTTTAGATTTTTTCTCAAAAGAAATTAGCTCATTTCTAAATAAATCTCAGAATTATAGAAAAAACAAACAAAAACTTCAGATGACATTTTGAGAATTCTGACTTTATTCTCAGATCCCAGACTTTGGCTTTAAGGCTCTTTGCTTCTGACCTTCTTAAAGATCTTTATTATGGAGACGTCCTGTTGGCCGCTCTGATCAGCTGACTTTCCATCGCTCTCTGAGGGGGACAGAAATATTGTTATTATTATTATTATGAATGTTTCTATTATTATTATTATACAGAGTAAACAGAGTACCTGGGTTCATCAGGTTCACTGAGTTCTCCGGGTTCTGTTTCCGGTTCTTCTCCTGATAAAACTGGAAGAACTCCTGAAAACATGAAACAGGAAATATTAAATAAATATATGAATATATTAAAAGCACTCTGACGATGATACCGTTTATTTATTTGATTGGATAAGTGCGTGTACCAGTTTGGGCAGCAGGATGTAGGAGAGCACGGACAGAAAGATAACAACACAGGCTGTGATGAAATATCCAAACGCTGCATCCTGCAGATCAGACCCACCTGAGAGAGAGGGATCGAACCGGCCCATCAGTGAGAGACAGACCCCCTGAGCCACAGATATGATGTTTCACAAGATGTTTTATTTTGGTGTTTTATTCTGAAATACTTGCGATGGCGCAGATCATGGCGAAGGCGGCGAAGCTCCCTGCCATCCCCTGGCCGCTCATGATGGGCGTGGTGTACGAAGCCGGGAGCAACCCTGCCATCCCAAACAGACTGCCCTGCAACACCGCTCCGAACGCTGTCAACCAACAAACAAACAAATAAACAAATAAACAACAGACTGCCCTGCAACACCGCTCCGAACGCTGTCAACCAACAAACAAACAAACAAACAAACAAATAAACAAATAAACAACAGACTGCCCTGCAACACGCTGGTAATAACACGGACAAACACACAAATAAACAACCAAACAAACACAAACAAACACCCTAAGGCATAACTCACAGTTGATGATGACGATCTTCACCATGGTGACGCAGAAGAAGGCGAGCGGCTCCAGAGGAACTCTGACGAAGACGGCGGTGGCGATGAACACGAACATGATGACGAGGAGACTGCCGAGCACCGGAGGCGCTGAGACACCCTGGGGGGGAAATAAACAATGAGTGGGGGGCCGAGTGGGGGCCGAGCGGGGCAGAGCGGGGGCAGAGCGGGGGCAGAGCGGGGGCAGAGCGGGGGCAGAGCGGGGGCAGAGCGGGGGCAGAGCGGGGGCCGAGTGGGGGCAGAGCGGGGGGCCGAGTGGGGGCAGAGCGGGGGCAGAGCGGGGGCAGAGCGGGGGCAGAGCGGGGGCCGAGCGGGGGCAGAGCGGGGGCAGAGCGGGGGCAGAGCGGGGGCAGAGCGGGGGCCGAGTGGGGGCAGAGCGGGGGCCGAGTGGGGGCAGAGCGGGGGCAGAGCGGGGGCAGAGCGGGGGCAGAGCGGGGGCCGAGCGGGGGCAGAGCGGGGGCCGAGTGGGGGCAGAGCGGGGGCAGAGCGGGGGCAGAGCGGGGGCAGAGCGGGGGCCGAGCGGGGGCAGAGCGGGGGCAGAGCGGGGGCAGAGCGGGGGCCGAGCGGGGGCAGAGCGGGGGCAGAGCGGGGGCCGAGTGGGGGCAGAGCGGGGGCAGAGCGGGGGCAGAGTGCTCACTCCCAACAAAGTCAGAGTTCTAGGATTTTCAGCTAAAGGTCAGGGGCCTCATTTATAACGCCTTGCGTAGGATTCACGTGAGAAGGTTGCTTACGTAGTACAAAGCAAAAAAATAGGTACAGAAATTTTCCGACATTTTCCGATTCACAAAACATTGCGTACCGGTGAGGGAAGTGCGTACGGCACTTGATACGCCTGTTTCCCTTTATAAATCACAATCGACTCGAAATGCGGCGCAGCTTTTGCAGGCTTCACGTAACGCCCATATTTGCCTATAAATAGTCAAAGAAACGCCCATTCATTCATTCATTTTTGACTGACTGCATGAAGAAGATCGCAGGAAATGAGGACAGAACAGCTAAAAAAGACATCTCACACCGTGTCAGATTTTGGTTATTGTGGGGAGGTGGAGATAAATCATATTGTTTGGTGGATGCAGTTTGAACCAGAGGAGCAGCATGGAGGTCGGATCGTCACCAACATAAATACACATAACCTTCCTCAGGCAGTGTGTTTGTACCGGGGACAGGAGACCCCCCCCCCTTGATGAGAAACTGTAAGAAATGATGGGGGAATCCCTCCGGAGTGTAGTCATGACGACTGGATCTGAATTATTGTGTTGTATTTGGTGGTTTGTGTTCCAGCTGTCGATCAGCAACTATATATCCATAATCCACCAGTTAAAGGAAATACAATGTGTTGTGTTATATTAGCTGTTTACCACATATGGTGTTCTTAGTTTCCATACCTCCTGGGTTTTACGAGCGATTTATCAAGTCTTGGCAAACGGCATAAAACACGATTAAACGTGATAGTATATAAAACCATGCTCGTATCTACAACCTATAGAAATGCAAAACGGCGTCAGTTTAGACGTTATGCTGTCCTCCTGCTTACCGCATCATTTATGAGAAAACATTTCATAACATTAACACAACATATTCGAGGTGGTTTTAAATAACATATCCGTATTTATTTATTTCCCCAAGTTATGTTTTTGTGTGCACTGAGGAGTCTCAAACAGGCGTTTGTTTCATCATTTTAAGATTGGCTTTAATCAATGTTTGAAAATGAATTCTTCATATGATAAATGAGAGGTAACATTTTATTGATGGTATTATTTCCACATATTTCTCTCCATTCTTCCTTCTGCCAACGGTGTCGCAGTTTCTCGTCTCTCCCGTTGTTGTGCTTAGTGCGTACGCATGGGTTACAGTTTGCGTGGAGGACCGCACATTTTCCCGTCAAGTTAGTATTTTATAAATCGCAAACATTGCGTAGAAACTGGCGTACGCCATTTTTTGAGCGTATATCCCTTTATAAATGAGGCCCCAGAACTGTTGAAATGTTACGCTTTTCTGAAAATAGTCAGAATTTTGAAATTTTCGGAAGAGTCAGAATTAGATATACACTTGAGCAGGAGAGAACTCTTTAAAGTAAAGACTCTACATACTGATATACACCTGAACATCAGCAGGAGAGGACTCTTTAAAGTAGAGACACTACATACTGATATACACCTGAACATCAGCAGGAGAGGACTCTTTAAAGTAGAGACACTACATACTGATATACACCTGAACATCAGCAGGAGAGGACTCTTTAAAGTAGAGACACTACATACTGATATACACCTGAACATCAGCAGGAGAGGACTCTTTAAAGTAGAGACGCTACATACTGATATACACCTGAACATCAGCAGAAGAGGACTCTTTAAAGTAGAGGACACTACATACAATCCCAAACAGACTGATATACACCTGAACATCAGCAGGAGAGGACTCTTTAAAGTAGAGACACTACAATACTGATATACACCTGAACATCAGTAGGAGAGGACTCTTTAAAGTAGAGACACTACATACTGATATACACCTGAACATCAGCAGGAGAGGACTCTTTAAAGTAGAGACACTACATACTGATATACACCTGAACATCAGCAGGAGAGGACTCTTTAAAGTAGAGACACTACATACTGATATACACCTGAACATCAGCAGGAGAGGACTCTTTAAAAGTAGAGACACTACATACTGATATACACCTGAACATCAGCAGGAGAGGACTCTTTAAAGTAGAGACACTACATACTGATATACACCTGAACATCAGCAGGAGGAGGACTCTTAAAGTAGAGGACACTACATACTGATATACACCTGAACATCAGCAGGAGAGGACTCTTTAAAGTAGAGACACTACATACTGATATACACCTGAACATCAGCAGGAGAGGACTCTTTAAAGTAGAGACACTACATACTGATATACACCTGAACATCAGCAGGAGAGGACTCTTTAAGTAGAGACACTACATACTGATATACACCTGAACATCAGCAGGAGAGGACTCTTTAAAGTAGAGACACTACATACTGATATACACCTGAACATCAGCAGGAGAAGGACTCTTTAAAGTAGAGACACTACATACTGATATACACCTGAACATCAGCAGGAGAGGACTCTTTAAAGTAGAGACACTACATACTGATATACACCTGAAACATCAGCAGGAGAGGACTCTTTAAAGTAGAGACACTACATACTGATATACACCTGAACATCAGCAGGAGAGGACTCTTAAAGTAGAGACACTACATACTGATATACACCTGAACATCAGCAGGAGAGGGACTCTTTAAAGTAGAGGACACTACATACTGATATACACCTGAACATCAGCAGGAGAGGACTCTTTAAAGTAGAGACACTACATACTGATATACACCTGAACATCAGCAGGAGAGGACTCTTTAAAGTAGAGACACTACATACTGATATACACCTGAACATCAGCAGGAGAGGACTCTTTAAAGTAGAGACACTACATACTGATATACACCTGAACATCAGCAGGAGAGGACTCTTTAAAGTAGAGACACTACATACTGATATACACCTGAACATCAGCAGGAGAGGACTCTTTAAGTAGAGACACTACATACTGATATACACCTGAACATCAGCAGGAGAGGACTCTTTAAAGTAGAGACACTACATACTGATATACACCTGAACATCAGCAGGAGAGGACTCTTTAAAGTAGAGACACTACATACTGATATACACATGAACATCAGCAGGAGAAGACTCTTTAAAGTAGAGACACTACATACTGATATACACCTGAACATCAGTAGGAGAGGACTCTTTAAAGTAGAGACACTACATACTGATATACACCTGAACATCAGCAGGAGATGACTCTTTAAAGTAGAGACACTACATACTGATATACACCTGAACATCAGCAGGAGAGGACTCTTTAAAGTAGAGACACTACATACTGATATACACCTGAACATCAGCAGGAGAGGACTCTTTAAAGTAGAGACACTACATACTGATATACACCTGAACATCAGCAGGAGAGGACTCTTTAAAGTAGAGACACTACATACTGATATACACCTGAACATCAGCAGGAGAGGACTCTTTAAAGTAGAGACACTACATACTGATATACACCTGAACATCAGCAGGAGAGGACTCTTTAAAGTAGAGACACTACATACTGATATACACCTGAACATCAGCAGGAGAGGACTCTTTAAAGTAGAGACACTACATACTGATATACACCTGAACATCAGCAGGAGAGGACTCTTTAAAGTAGAGACACTACATACTGATATACACCTGAACATCAGCAGGAGAGGACTCTTTAAAGTAGAGACACTACATACTGATATACACCTGAACATCAGCAGGAGAGGACTCTTTAAAGTAGAGACACTACATACTGATATACACCTGAACATCAGCAGGAGAGGACTCTTTAAAGTAGAGACACTACATACTGATAGACTTCCTAATCATCATGTAGTGGATAATGTCTCACAGTTTGTGCAGCAGCGAGGTCAGGCAGGTGCACAGCAGCAGCGGCAGCATCGCACACAGCGTCATCACGTTGTTGAAGCTCGCCTCCAACGCACTGCGCTCACCTGGCGCCTCCGTCTGATTGGCTGAGGATTCCTCCAATGGGGAGTCCTTCAGACGGCTGGTGAAGTACTGCACACACAAACAACTGCTGTTTGAATGTTATATAAATATATTTAGTTGTTAAATTAATATAATACAGGTTAATTTATCAAATAAAAACTGTTAATTCTGTTAACTTGAATCTTGAACACTGTTTAAATTATTCGTCCTTATAAAAAAAAACTAAAATCCTGACAGAGCTGGAGATGGCGAGGGGGTGGAAAGCAGACAGGAAGTGATGTCATACCACAGTGGCGGTCATGAAGAAGTTCCAGGGCAGCAGCGTCCCCAACCCGAGCATGAAGAAGATCAGCCACACGCCGAAATACCTGGAAGGAAGACCATTTCAAAATAAAAGCATCCCAACTGTTTCTGCTTTAAAACACCTGTCAATCAATCTGTGACTCCACCTCCAGAGATCACCTGTCAATCAATCTGTGACTCCACCTCCAGAGATCACCTGTCAATCAATCTGTGACTCCACCTCCAGAGATCACCTGTCAATCAATCTGTGACTCCACCTCCAGAGATCACCTGTCAATCAATCTGTGACTCCACCTCCAGAGATCACCTGTCACGTCCTGCAGTATTTATTCTTATATGTATATATCAAATCAAATCAAATCAAATCAAGTTTTATTTATAAAGCACATTTAAAAGCGATTTTTGGTCGAGCCAAAGTGCTGTACATGTAATAAAAACACATTACTACAATCACAATAAAAGACAATAAATTACAACAGATATATAAAAAACACAGGGAAAAGTCAGGAGTCGTGCTCCGCTCTGACTAGAAGGCCAGAGAGAAGAAGTGTAGATTTAAAACCCCCTAGGGTCTGGGCCGACCTCACATGGAGGGGCAGAGTGTTCCAGAGCCTAGGGCCAGCTGCTGCGAAGGCTCGGTGCCCTCGGGTTTTGAGCCTGGTCTTGGGCACTACCAGCAGCAGCTGGTCAGCAGACCTTAAAGCTCTGGCTGGGGTGTAGCGCTGGAGGAGTTCAGCTATATAGGCCGGAGCCAGCCCATTTAGGGCTTTGAAAACAAATACAAGGAGTTTAAAATCTATTCTGAACCGAACTGGAAGCCAGTGCAGTGAGGCCAGAATAGGGGTGATGTGGTCACGCTTTTTGTGGCCAGTCAGAAGACGTGCAGCTGCGTTCTGGACTAGCTGTAAGCGTTTAATTGAGGCCTGGTCCATACCCACATACAGAGCGTTACAATAGTCCAGTCCAGTATATATATATATATATATATATATATATATTAAAGGTCTCCTATCATGCAAAAGTAACTTGTTGATGTCTTCTCTACATCACCATGTGTCCCCGGTGTGTCCCCGGTGTGTCCCCGGTGTGTCCCCGATGTGTCAGGGAACTCACGCAGCGTCAGAAAATAAAACCCTCTCTCTTTTCCTCCGTACCCAAATCTCTAAAAACGGGGGAACAACGGAGCTGATCCAGATTTGCGTCCGATATGACGTAATATCTGAAATGTGGACCCACGGCACTATCAGAAACGTTGCTATCAGAAACAATGCCCGACTGTTTTGGACGTAATATGGTCGGTGTTTACATTAGCATCACTAACACTCAGAGCTAACCTGTGCTGGAGAGCATGTGTGTGAAGAAGCAGGAAATAAAAAGGAACTCACCTTGTGGTATAACCGGCAAGAGAGAAAGCCTTTGAGCTCCATACTGTTTCAGAGATAATCCTTGATAATCCATGATATGGCGTTTCATCACGGCAGCATTTAGTTTAGACAGTAGCTGCCGGGTCCCCCATGAGCTCAGACCCCTCCTTTTTAAAGCTTTATACCCAAATCAGCACTTTAGAAACAGGAAGTGAAATAGAGGGATATGAGGCATGGCTAGAATGGGTGATCTGTTTGGTGTTTGGAGCAAAACACTTCAGACATGTTTTTTATATATTTTTATATATCTGAGACCTATGCTATTGCCTACAAATAGCATGATAGGTGACCTTTAAATAATTTATTGCATTTATTATGTGTTTTAATGAATTATCAACCAACCACTGGGTGAACACTGGGAATAATAAAAGTTGTTTTAACTCACTTGTCTTTTGGAGAGCTGGCAGCCATTTTCCTCTGAGGAAGTGAAGGGGAACAAACATTAGACTTTGGCTTTTCAAAATAAAAATCATTCAAGTTCAGCTCTTTAAAATTAAACAAATGATACCTCATCTTTTCATAATAAAACACAGCAGACTTAGGCTTTTCAAAGTAAAACAGACCAAGCTTTTCAAAGTAAAACACAGCAGACTCCAGCTTTCGTGAGTTAAACGTACCATATTTGCGACACCTTTCAAAATAAAAGCCTCCCGCTTCAGAGGCAGGATGAAGGATCCTCTCGTTACTGAACCACACAGAACCACACAGAACCACACAGAACCTCAGCTCAGAGTTTAAAGATGTGAGTAAAGTGAGCAGAGCTTCTGCTCCTCTCTGAGAACAGGAAGTGAAAGTTTCTGCAGGAACGCTGAGAGACGCGTGATGAGTATTTTGTAACATCTATAAAAACTCAACTCATCAGATTCTTCTCACGCTGCGGCTGCATTTAATTTCAACTACAGACACTTTGCTCACATGTGAACCTTCAGATCTCTTTATTCATATTGTGTTTGAGATACTCAATAGATATGGATCTTTACCTGGTCATATATATATATATGTATTTACTGCCTGCTTTACCTGCTGCAGTGACAAAGGGATCCCTACACGTGGATCAATAGATCCCTACACGTGGACCAATAGATCCCTACACGTGGATCAATAGATCCCTACACGTGGATCAATAGATCCCTACACGTGGATCCCTACACGTGGATCAATAGATCCCTACACGTGGATCAATAGATCCCTACACGTGGATCAATAGATCCCTACACGTGGATCCATAGATCCCTACACGTGGATCAATAGATCCCTACACGTGGATCAATAGATCCCTACACGTGGATCAATAGATCCCTACACGTGGACCAATAGATCCCTACACGTGGATCAATAGATCCCTACACGTGGACCAATAGATCCCTACACGTGGATCAATAGATCCCTACACGTGGACCAATAGATCCCTACACGTGGATCAATAGATCCCTACACGTGGATCAATAGATCCCTACACGTGGATCAATAGATCCCTACACGTGGACCAATAGATCCCTACACGTGGATCAATAGATCCCTACACGTGGATCAATAGATCCCTACACGTGGACCAATAGATCCCTACACGTGGATCAATAGATCCCTACACGTGGATCAATAGATCCCTACACGTAGATCAATAGATCCCTACACGTGGACCAATAGATCCCTACACGTGGACCAATAGATCCCTACACGTGGATCAATAGATCCCTACACGTGGATCAATAGATCCCTACACGTGGATCCATAGATCCCTACACGTGGATCAATAGATCCCTACACGTGGATCAATAGATCCCTACACGTGGATCAATAGATCCCTACACGTGGATCAATAGATCCCTACACGTGGATCCATAGATCCCTACACGTGGATCCATAGATCCCTACACGTGGATCCCTACACGTGGATCAATAGATCCCTACACGTGGATCCATAGATCCCTACACGTGGATCCATAGATCCCTACACGTGGATCAATAGATCCCTACACGTGGATCCATAGATCCCTACACGTGGATCCATAGATCCCTACACGTGGATCCCTACACGTGGATCAATAGATCCCTACACGTGGATCCATAGATCCCTACACGTGGATCAATAGATCCCTACACGTGGATCAATAGATCCCTACACGTGGATCAATAGATCCCTACACGTGGATCCCTACACGTGGATCAATAGATCCCTACACGTGGATCCATAGATCCCTACACGTGGATCCATAGATCCCTACACGTGGATCAATAGATCCCTACACGTGGATCCATAGATCCCTACACGTGGATCCATAGATCCCTACACGTGGATCCATAGATCCCTACACGTGGATCCATAGATCCCTACACGTGGATCCATAGATCCCTACACGTGGATCCATAGATCCCTACACGTGGATCAATAGATCCCTACACGTGGATGAATAGATCCCTACACGTAGATCCATAGATCCCTACACGTGGATCAATAGATCCCTACACGTGGATCAATAGATCCCTACACGTGGATCAATAGATCCCTACACGTGGATCCATAGATCCCTACACGTGGATCCATAGATCCCTACACGTGGATCAATAGATCCCTACACGTGGATCCATAGATCCCTACACGTGGATCCATAGATCCCTACACGTGGATCCATAGATCCCTACACGTGGATCAATAGATCCCTACACGTGGATCCATAGATCCCTACACGTGGATCCATAGATCCCTACACGTGGATCAATAGATCCCTACACGTGGATCAATAGATCCCTACACGTGGATCAATAGATCCCTACACGTGGATCCCTACACGTGGATCAATAGATCCCTACACGTGGATCCATAGATCCCTACACGTGGATCCATAGATCCCTACACGTGGATCAATAGATCCCTACACGTGGATCCATAGATCCCTACACGTGGATCCATAGATCCCTACACGTGGATCCATAGATCCCTACACGTGGATCCATAGATCCCTACACGTGGATCCATAGATCCCTACACGTGGATCAATAGATCCCTACACGTGGATCCATAGATCCCTACACGTGGATCCATAGATCCCTACACGTGGATCAATAGATCCCTACACGTGGATCAATAGATCCCTACACGTGGATCCATAGATCCCTACACGTGGATCAATAGATCCCTACACGTGGATCAATAGATCCCTACACGTAGATCCATAGATCCCTACACGTGGATCAATAGATCCCTACACGTGGATCAATAGATCCCTACACGTGGATCAATAGATCCCTACACGTGGATCAATAGATCCCTACACGTGGATCCATAGATCCCTACACGTGGATCCATAGATCCCTACACGTGGATCAATAGATCCCTACACGTGGATCCATAGATCCCTACACGTGGATCCATAGATCCCTACACGTGGATCCATAGATCCCTACACGTGGAATCAATAGATCCCTACACGTGGATCCATAGATCCCTACACGTGGATCCATAGATCCCTACACGTGGATCAATAGATCCCTACACGTGGATCAATAGATCCCTACACGTGGATCTATGGATCCCTACACGTGGATCAATAGATCCCTACACGTGGATCCATAGATCCCTACACGTGGATCAATAGATCCCTACACGTGGATCAATAGATCCCTACACGTGGATCCCTACACGTGGATCAATAGATCCCTACACGTGGATCCCTACACGTGGATCAATAGATCCCTACACGTGGATCCATAGATCCCTACACGTGGATCAATAGATCCCTACACGTGGATCAATAGATCCCTACACGTGGATCCATAGATCCCTACACGTGGATCCATAGATCCCTACACGTGGATCCATAGATCCCTACACGTGGATCCATAGATCCCTACACGTGGATCCATAGATCCCTACACGTGGATCCATAGATCCCTACACGTGGATCGATAGATCCCTACACGTGGATCAATAGATCCCTACACGTGGATCCCTACACGTGGATCAATAGATCCCTACACGTGGATCCATAGATCCCTACACGTGGATCCATAGATCCCTACACGTGGATCAATAGATCCCTACACGTGGATCAATAGATCCCTACACGTGGATCAATAGATCCCTACACGTGGATCAATAGATCCCTACACGTGGATCCCTACACGTGGATCAATAGATCCCTACACGTGGATCCCTACACGTGGATCAATAGATCCCTACACGTGGATCCATAGATCCCTACACGTGGATCAATAGATCCCTACACGTGGATCAATAGATCCCTACACGTGGATCCATAGATCCCTACACGTGGATCCATAGATCCCTACACGTGGATCCATAGATCCCTACACGTGGATCAATAGATCCCTACACGTGGATCAATAGATCCCTACACGTGGATCCATAGATCCCTACACGTGGATCCATAGATCCCTACACGTGGATCAATAGATCCCTACACGTGGATCTATTGATCCCTACACGTGGATCCATAGATCCCTACACGTGGATCCATAGATCCCTACACGTGGATCCATAGATCCCTACACGTGGATCAATAGATCCCTACACGTGGATCAATAGATCCCTACACGTGGATCCATAGATCCCTACACGTGGATCCATAGATCCCTACACGTGGATCAATAGATCCCTACACGTGGATCTATTGATCCCTACACGTGGATCAATAGATCCCTACACGTGGATCAATAGATCCCTACACGTGGATCCATAGATCCCTACACGTGGATCCATAGATCCCTACACGTGGATCCATAGATCCCTACACGTGGATCCATAGATCCCTACACGTGGATCAATAGATCCCTACACGTGGATCCATAGATCCCTACACGTGGATCAATAGATCCCTACACGTGGATCCATAGATCCCTACACGTGGATCAATAGATCCCTACACGTGGATCAATAGATCCCTACACGTGGATCCATAGATCCCTACACGTGGATCCATAGATCCCTACACGTGGATCAATAGATCCCTACACGTGGATCTATTGATCCCTACACGTGGATCCATAGATCCCTACACGTGGATCCATAGATCCCTACACGTGGATCCATAGATCCCTACACGTGGATCAATAGATCCCTACACGTGGATCCATAGATCCCTACACGTGGATCCATAGATCCCTACACGTGGATCCATAGATCCCTACACGTGGATCAATAGATCCCTACACGTGGATCTATTGATCCCTACACGTGGATCAATAGATCCCTACACGTGGATCCATAGATCCCTACACGTGGATCCATAGATCCCTACACGTGGATCCATAGATCCCTACACGTGGATCCATAGATCCCTACACGTGGATCCATAGATCCCTACACGTGGATCCATAGATCCCTACACGTGGATCCATAGATCCCTACACGTGGATCCATAGATCCCTACACGTGGATCCATAGATCCCTACACGTGGATCAATAGATCCCTACACGTGGATCCATAGATCCCTACACGTGGATCCATAGATCCCTACACGTGGATCCATAGATCCCTACACGTGGATCCATAGATCCCTACACGTGGATCCATAGATCCCTACACGTGGATCCATAGATCCCTACACGTGGATCCATAGATCCCTACACGTGGATCCATAGATCCCTACACGTGGATCCATAGATCCCTACACGTGGATCAATAGATCCCTACACGTGGATCAATAGATCCCTACACGTGGATCCATAGATCCCTACACGTGGATCCATAGATCCCTACACGTGGATCAATAGATCCCTACACGTGGATCTATTGATCCCTACACGTGGATCCATAGATCCCTACACGTGGATCCATAGATCCCTACACGTGGATCCATAGATCCCTACACGTGGATCAATAGATCCCTACACGTGGATCAATAGATCCCTACACGTGGATCCATAGATCCCTACACGTGGATCCATAGATCCCTACACGTGGATCAATAGATCCCTACACGTGGATCTATTGATCCCTACACGTGGATCAATAGATCCCTACACGTGGATCAATAGATCCCTACACGTGGATCCATAGATCCCTACACGTGGATCCATAGATCCCTACACGTGGATCCATAGATCCCTACACGTGGATCCATAGATCCCTACACGTGGATCAATAGATCCCTACACGTGGATCAATAGAGGTGATCGGATCCTTCCTGTGGTTGAGTGATCCTCGTCTAATACAAATATCTGAATTTATTACATGGTTTAGTTGAATACTCGATTCTGATTGGTCAATTCAGAACACGTGACACGTTGTTAATCCAGAACAGACAGACCGCTGTCAAGGATTTATGACCGTTGTTAAGGACGCTCAAATCTGCAGAAAGAAGTCCGGTCGATTGAACTGTATACAGTTTGGCTGAAAAGCTTTTCTAACTGACAAGACAAGAGCGACAAGAAAACAGCGGAGAAGTAACGGGGCAGAAACCCTCCTTTTTACGCAGCGGTCCAGACATAGACATCAAACGGCGACACATATTCAGTGTGCAGTTCCTTTGGCATTAGGGCAGGGGTATCTAGATACTTTCCAAGGTCTGACATCATGAAGTGTGCTACTTTTAAAGCAAGCAACGATGTTTTCAAATCTGTAATCAAAAAGCTCCGCCTTCCTGCCGTTGCGTTGCTCCGTTTTTTTTTCAAACGGTAACAACGGACTATTTTTCTTAGCGGATGCATGTCAATTTAAATCAATACATACAACTATTTTTTAAATCAATAAAATCATTTCTAAATCCATAAAAGCATTTCAATTAATAGTGGGAGTCATATCGTTACTTTGTTGAGAATGTGGCCGTGTGATAAGCGGGATAATGTGCAGCGACTCGGTCATTATGGAGAACACCTTCATGCAGATCTAGATCCCTCCGCTTCGCCTCGGGCTCCTGATCTGCCTGTCGGTGTTCTTTTCCCCATAATGACCGCGTCGCTGCACATTATCCCTTACATAATTCATATTAAAAAGATTCACCTCAAGTTCCTCACGGCCTCCAGAGGTTCTCCAAGTGTCTGCAATTGTTCTCTTAAGGTTCTGCCGATGGTCTTCAGAGGTTCTGCCGATGGTCTTCAGAGGTGCTGCAGAGGTTCTGCCGATGGTCTTCAGAGGTTCTGCCGATGGTCTTCAGAGGTTCTTCAGAGGTCCTGCAGAGGTGCTGCAGAGGTTCTGCAGAGGTTCTGCAGAGGTTCTCCTCTCTGCAGGTTGAGCTTCAGTCTCTGCTGATCTCTCAGTGTTAGATCTTCTCTAACGTTCTCTCTCTCAGACTGTCTTCAGTCCTGGTTCCAGTGGTTCCTCTGGGTTCTGGTTCCTCTGGATGCTGGTTCCTCTGGGTTCCTGGTTCCTCTGGATGCTGGTTCCTCTGGATGCTGGTTCCAGTGGTTCTGCCGCAGCTCTTCCTCCTCGCTGTGTGTCTGCAGAGGCAGCAGCCAGGTGACCTTTGACCTCTGGTATCAGTGCGTTAGTGGACTTTGATTCTGTTGAAATGACGATGCAAGATAACGCTCTCTGAGGTCTCACATGTTCCTCGTGTGGAACCATCAGGACTAAAGACATTCTGTCATTTCCACACAGTCCTGGGGGGTCACAGGGTTTCAACATGTTCTCCAGGTGTTCTCTGGGTGTTTCTCAATGTCGAGTACGCTTGCTTGGTAGCACATGTCTGCCGAGCATCTTGCTTCAGAAGCGAGTCAAGAATACTTCCTGACATTCTGAAAACAAAGTGTGGAACACGCTAGCAAGTGTGCAGGTGTGCGTCATATGAGAGGCCCCGCCTCTTACATCTTCCGCCACAGATTTGGGGAAATTGGTCCGTGCGCAAAGCATTGTGGGGATTTTAAGACCGCTGAGTCTACTCATGTGCAGCCTCGATATTTCTCCAAACGGAGTACGCCGGGCTCGGTAGATTTCCAAGTATGCTGGAGATTGGAACAGTACTTCGGCGGCACTCGATGACGTAGCATGCTTGAAATAGTGGCTCTGAAGCAGCTTTACTCGACATTGAGAAACACCCTCTGACAGGTGGAGAGAACACCTGACACCCTCCTGCAGTTAGCATTAGCCTCCAAAGGAACCTTGTAATATACAGAAGGTGTTAATGTCAGTAATGAGGGGGGGGGGTTAGGGTTAGGGGTCTCTGTTATAAGCTGACCTGTATGAACACCTGATCAGCTGATCATTGCTCTGATATGAGGGGGGGGGGGGGTCTCTGTTATAAGCTCACCTGTATGAACACCTGATCAGCTGATCATTGCTCTGATATGAGGGGGGGGGGGGGTCTCTGTTATAAGCTCACCTGTATGAACACCTGATCAGCTGATCATTGCTCTGATATGAGGGGGGGGGGGGGTCTCTGTTATAAGCTCACCTGTATGAACACCTGATCAGCTGATCATTGCTCTGATTCTGTCTCATGACTTCCTGTCTCTAGAACTCACCCGTCCACTCTGTGAACAAATCACTCCAGTTACAGTCGCTGTTTGAGGTTCACTTCAAAACAGATCAATCATTAACAGCTGATTAGAGTGAACCTTTGACCCCCCCCCCCCCCATCAGGGAGGGTCTCCTGCTGATACCTTCCTTCATTATACACTTATATCACTACAAAGATACTAATACTACCATATGAGTATATGTAGTACACATTATATACTTATATCACTACAAAGATACTAATACTACCATATGAGTATATGTAGTACACATTATATACTTATATCACTACAAAGATACTAATACTACCATACGAGTATATGTAGTACACATTATACACTATATCACTACACAGATACTAATACTACCATATGAGTATATGTAGTACACACATGAGTATATGTAGTACACACATGAGTATATGTAGTACACACATGAGTATATGTACTACACATACTCATATGTGTACTACACATACTCATATGTGTAGTACACATATGAGTATATGTAGTACACACATGAGTATATGTAGTACACATATGAGTATGTGTAGTACACATATGAGTATGTGTAGTACACATATGAGTATGTGTAGTACACATACTCATATGTGTACTACACATACTCATATGTGTACTACATATACTCATGTGTGTACTACATATACTCATGTGTGTACTACATATACTCATGTGTGTACTACATATACTCATATGTGTACTACACATATGAGTATGTGTAGTACACATATGAGTATGTGTAGTACACATTATACAGAGTTTCTGCTTCCAGTCTTAAAATAAACCTCAAACTCGTTTCCAGAGAAATTAATAAACTTTATTTCTAACGAACGCTCGGGTACAGATTGATCAGCTGATTACATCCTGATGGGGGGGTCCTGATCGGGGGTCATGATGGGGGTCCTGATCGGGGGTCATGATGGGGGCTCCTGATATCGGGGGGGTCCTGATGGGGGGGGCCAGATGGAGGGGTCCTGATGGAGGTGTCCTGATGGAGGTGTCCTGATGGGGGGGGTCCTGATAGGGGTCCTGATGGGGGGGCCAGATATCGGGGGGGTCCTGATGGGGGGTCCTGATGGGGGGGGCCAGATGGAGGGGTCCTGATGGAGGTGTCCTGATGGGGGGGTCCTGATAGGGGTCCTGATGGGGGGGCCAGATGGAGGGGTCCTGATGGGGGGGGTCCAGATGGGGGGGTCCTGATGGGGGTCCTGATGGGGGGGCCAGATTGGGGGGTCCTGATGGGTTGGGGGGTCCTGATGGGGGTCCTGATGGGGGGGTCCTGATGGGGGGTCCTGATGGGGGGGCCAGATGGGGGGGTCCTGATGGGGTGGGGGGTCCTGATGGGGGGGGGGTCACTCAGCTTTGGTTTTCTTCACCGCTCCAGGTAGACGGTCCTGCAGCCTGAAACACACACAGATATTACTTTAGATAAAGTCTGTAACTAATACTCTATATATATCAGTGGTGAACCGTCAGGGCCTTCAAGGTATTCAGAGTCTACAGGAGGGGGGGGGGGGGGGTCTACAGGAAGGAAGGGGGGTCTACAGGAAGGAAGGGGGGTCTACAGGAAGTCCAGCTGGGATACACACGGTTCAACACTGGGATATAATAACAATAGTTAATACTCGATGTAACTCACTTGTTCATCTTCTCCTCAACTCTGGACCGAACCGACTGCACGTACCCATCAATCTGAGTCTGCACACACACACACACACACACACACACACACACACACACACACACACACACACACACACACACACACACACACACACACACACACACACACACACACACACACACACACACACACACACACACACACACACACACACACACACACACACACACACACACACACACACCACACACACACACACACACACACACACACACACACACACACACACACACACACACACACACACACACACACACACACACACACACACACACACACACACACACACACACACAGTTTATAAGGTTCCTTCTCTGGTTCTTGGTTCTGGTTCTGTCAGTAATCAGATTACCTTCTTCTTCTGGTAGAGGAGTGGCGAGGTGAAGAACAGGATGTCGGCTGGAACCAGAGGAGAACCTTCGTTAGGGTTTCATTTCTTAACAAGATGACTTAACGAGATGCTTTAAATCAAATCAAATCAATCAAATCAAGTTTTATTTATAAAGCACATTTAAAAGCGATTTTTGGTCGAGCCAAAGTGCTGTACATGTAATAAAAACACATTACTACAATCACAATAAAAGACAATAAATTACAACAGATATATAAAAAACACAAGGAATAGTCAGGAGTCGTGCTCCGCTCTAACTAGAAGGCCAGAGAGAAGAAGTGTGTTTTTAGTGATGATCTAAAAACCCCTAGGGTCTGGGCTGACCTCACATGGAGGGGCAGAGTGTTCCAGAGCCTAGGGCCAGCTGCTGAGAAGGCTCGGTGCCCTCGGGTTTTGAGCCTGGTCTTGGGCACTACCAGCAGCAGCTGGTCAGCAGACCTTAAGGCTCTGGCTGGGGTGTAGCGCTGGAGGAGTTCAGCTATATAGGCCGGAGCCAGCCCATTTAGGGCTTTGAAAACAAATAAAAGGATTTTAAAATCAATTCTGAACCGAACTGGAAGCCAGTGCAGTGAGGCCAGAATAGGGGTGATGTGGTCACGCTTTTTGTGGCCAGTCAGCAAACGTGCAGCTGCGTTCTGGACTAGCTGTAAGTGTTTGATTGAGGCCTGGTCCATACCCACATACAGAGCGTTACAATAGTCCAGTCTTGAGGTTACAAAGGCGTTAATAACCCTTTCTAAGTCTTTAAAAGATAAATACGACTTGGTTTTGGCCAATAGTCCGGTGCGTCAGGGAACTCACGCAGCGTCAGAAAATAAAACCCTCTCTCTTTTCCTCCGTACCCACATCTCTAAACGGAGCTGATCCAGATTTGCGGCGATTTGAGGTAATATCGGCGGCGGACCCACAGCATGACTGTTTTGGACGTAATATGGTCGGTGTTTACATTAGCATGGCTAACACTCAGAGCTAACCTGTACTGGAGAGCATGTGTGTGAAGAAGCAGGAAATAAAAAGGAACTCACCTTGTGGTATAACCGGCAAGAGAGAAAGCCTTTGAGCTCCATACTGTTTCAGAGACAATCCTTGATAATCCATGATATGGCGTTTCATCACGGCAGCATTTAGTTTAGACAGTAGCTGCCGGGTCCCGCATGAGCTCAGACCCCTACTTTTTAAAGCTTTATACCCAAATCAGCACTTTAGAAACAGGAAGTGAAATAGAGGGATATGAGGCATGGCTAGAATGATCTGTTTGGTGTTTGGAGCAAAACACTTCATAGACATGTTTTTTATATATTTGTATCTGAGACCTATGCTATTGCCTAAAGATAGCCTGATAGGTGACCTTTAAGGAGTGGTGACTCACCGAGGATCAGCAGCGTGACGCCGTTAAAGATCGAGCCGACGTACGTCAGCATCCACATCCCGCCTGCCAGCTGGAACACACAGAACATCACAGAACATCAGAGAACATCAGAGAACATTTGAGAACATCAGAGAACATCTGAGAACCTCACAGAACATCACAGAACCTCACAGAACACTCAGAGAACCTCACAGAACACTCAGAGAACCTCACAGAACACTCAGAGAACCTCACAGAACACTCAGAGAACCTCACAGAACATATATTATGCATGTTTATATGTTATGAAATAGGAATAGGTTTTAGTGACCTTGAGAGAGTCCACCAGGTCCTCCACCAGCAGCAGGCGCCGGCTCTCTCGGATGACCCGGTTCAGATAAACTGTGCTGAGATCGGCCAGCTGACGGACTGACTCTGAGGACAAGGAGACGTCCCTCTGGAGAGAAGACCTGGGGGGAGGGGGGGTGATGAGGATGATGAAGATGATGATACACTGAAGAGAGACAGGAGCAGCGATACACTCAATAATGCAGGGGGGGGGGGGGGTTACCTGAATGGATGACCTTCTTCTGATTTCTGGACGGCCTGAATGATGGATTTATAAACTCTGCAGACAGGAAGCAGACTGTGAGAACACACACACACACACACACACACACACACACACACACACACACACACACACACACACACACCACACACACAACACACACACACACACACACACACACACACACACACACACAACACACACACACACACACACACACACACACACACACACACACACACACCACACACACACACACACACACCCCACACACACACAGATACTACGTGAGGAGAGCTGCTCTGATTGGTCCTCACCTGAAGGTGATGGTGATGCAAAGGACGGCCAGCAGCAGGTAGGACACCACGCTGATGACGGACAGCGTCGCCACAGAGACCAGTACCAGCAGAGAGCCAATGAACGCAGCCGCTGACCTCTTAGGTTCCTGCCATTGGACGAGCTGTAGGGCTGAGAGAGAGAGAGAGAATGAGAGAGAGAGAGTGAGAGAGAGATAGAGAGAGAAAGAGTGAGAGAGAGAGAGAGACACCAAGAGACTAAATACCAAGATGGAGACGACTAATCACCAAGAGACTAATCACCAAGATGGAGACGACTAATCACCAAGAGACTAATCACCAAGATGGAGACGACTAATCACCAAGATGGAGACGACTAATCACCAAGAGACTAATCACCATGATGGAGACGACTAATCACCAAGATGGAGACGACTAATCACCTAGATGGAGACGACTAATCCCCAAGATGGAGACGACTAATCCCCAAGATGGAGACGACTAATCCCCTAGATGGAGACGACTAATCCCCAAGATGGAGACGACTAATCCCCAAGATGGAGACGAATAAAACACCAAGATGGAGACGACTAAACACCTAGATGGAGACGACTAATCCCCAAGAGACTAATCACCATGATGGAGACGACTAATCACCAAGATGGAGACGACTAATCCCCTAGATGGAGACGACTAATCCCCTAGATGGAGACGACTAATCCCCAAGATGGAGACGACTAATCCCCAAGATGGAGGCGAATAAAACACCAAGATGGAGACGACTAAACACCTAGATGGAGACGACTAATCCCCAAGATGGAGACGACTAATCACCAAGATGGAGACGACTGGGGAGACGACTAATCCCCAAAATGGAGACGACTAAACTTCAAGATGGAGACGACTAATCCCCAAGATGGAGACGACTAAACACCAAGATGGAGACGACTAATCCCCAAGATGGAGACGACTAATCCCCAAGATGGAGACGACTAAACTTCAAGATGGAGACGACTAAACACCAAGATGGAGACGACTGGGGAGACGACTAATCCCCAAGATGGAGACGACTAAACACCAAGATGGAGACGACTAATCCCCAAGATGGAGACGACTAAACACCAAGATGGAGACGACTAATCCCCAAGATGGAGACGACTAAACTTCAAGATGGAGACGACTAATCCCCAAGATGGAGACGACTAAACACCAAGATGGAGACGACTAATCCCCAAGATGGAGACGACTAATCCCCAAGATGGAGACGACTAAACTTCAAGATGGAGACGACTAAACACCAAGATGGAGACGACTGGGGAGACGACTAATCCCCAAGATGGAGACGACTAAACACCAAGATGGAGACGACTAATCCCCAAGATGGAGACGACTAAACACCAAGATGGAGACGACTAAACACCAAGATGGAGACGACTAATCCCCAGCATTGGAGACGACTAAACACCAAGATGGAGACGACTAATCCCCAGCGTTGGAGGACACAGAGCTGATTGTTCTCAGCTGAGAGTCATTAGCGTTCTTTAACCCTCTCCTCTGGAGGAATGCAGATAATCTCAGTGTGACCGGATTACACCTCAGGACCTGTTGTTCCTCTGAGGACACATTCAACAGGACCTGCATGTTGTTCCTCTCAACTCCCAGTTCATCATTTCATTCCAGTTGTCTCTGAATTAAATCAACAGTACATTTAGTTTGGTGTGGTGGTTGTGCAGAGGTGCATCATGGGAGTTGTAGTCTAAATATATATGTATATATAAAGTGGTAAAAACAGTGAATAAAGTTTCAGTTTGAGGTTAAATCTGAGTTTCTACATTTGAATGCAGTTTGTTACGACAGGTATTTCCCTCACAGCCAATCAGCTGATCGGACCCCCAATCAGCTGATCGGACCCCCGGTGGGTTTCTCTCAGAAGTTTTACTGCAGTAAAGTAGAATACTCTCAGAAGTGTTACTACAGTAAAGTAGAACACAGCAACATGTTGTAATAACTTGAAGTAACAGCAGAATAAATACTCAAGTATCTCAGACTTCAGTGAAAGTACTGGGTTACTCTCCTGGTCACATGACGCTGAGCAGGTGGAGGGTTACTCTCCTGGTCACATGACGCTGAGCAGGTGGACGGTTACCTGAGTGTGAGAGGTCTTTGAGGGAGGAAGACGAGTGGTTGGAGGAAGGTGGTGATGAAGAGCTAGTGCTGCTGGAGTCGGCCATCTTCTTCTTCTTCTTCTTCTTCTTCTTCTTCTTCTCAGTGTGCAGCTGCAGGTTTGAAGCTCTGAGTCTGAGCTGCTGACTCCACTCTGGGGGCGGGGCTTACACTGAGGGGGCGGGGCTTACACTGAGGGGGCGGGGCATGTGTAGTCAAAGTCAGCTTTATTGTCAAGAATTCTACATGTTGTACATCCAGAAATATCTAAATATCGTTTCCCGCAGTCCTACAGTGTGACATGTATACATCAAACAAAACAAAGGGCCTAGATAACCGGGGTATACAGTTTAAAGTGTTAATATATTTAAGTAGTAAGTTTAAAGGGACAATTCACCTCAAATTAAAACTACCAGAGGGTCAGGAATGAGTCTTAAAACCCTGACATGAGTCAGCATTATGAGTCCTTCACCCTGACCTGAGTCAGCGTTATGAGTCCTGAACCGACACGAGTCAGCATTATGAGTCCTTCACCCTGACCTGAGTCAGCGTTATGAGTCCTAAACCCTGACCTGAGTCAGCATTATGAGTCCTGAACCCTGACCTGAGTCAGCATTATGAGTCCTGACCCCTGAGTCAGCATTATGAGTCCTAAACCCTGACCTGAGTCAGCATTATGAGTCCTAAACCCTGACCTGAGTCAGCATTATGAGTCCTGACCCCTGAGTCAGCATTATGAGTCCTGACCCCTGACATGAGTCAGCATTATGAGTCCTGAACCCTGACATGAGTCAGCATTATGAGTCCTGACCCCTGACATGAGTCAGCATTATGAGTCCTGACCCCTGACATGAGTCAGCATTATGAGTCCTGACCCCTGACATGAGTCAGCATTATGAGTCTTGAACCCTGACATGAGTCAGCATTATGAGTCCTTCACCCTGACATGAGTCAGCATTATGAGTCCTTCACCCTGACATGAGTCAGCATTATGAGTCCTTCACCCTGACATGAGTCAGCATTATGAGTCCTGACCCCTGACATGAGTCAGCATTATGAGTCCTGAACCCTGACATGAGTCAGCATGATGAGTCCTGACCCCTGACATGAGTCAGCATTATGAGTCCTGACCCCTGACATGAGTCAGCATTATGAGTCCTGAACCCTGACATGAGTCAGCATGATGAGTCCTGACCCCTGACATGAGTCAGCATTATGAGTCCTGACCCCTGACATGAGTCAGCATGATGAGTCCTTAACCCTGACATGAGTCAGCATTATGAGTCCTTAACCCTGATATAGAACATAAATCATTTGAGGGAAAAACAAGAAATCTGACTTAACCCTCAAAGGTCCCGTGCCATGCTTCTCTGGTTCTGACCCGTCCCCTTGTGTTCTGAAGCTTCTGCATGTAAACGGTCTGCAGTCACTAACCCTCAGAGTGCACCCTTACACCAGGGCTATTCAATTAGTTTGGAATGGGGCCGGTTGATGAAAATGATCCAAAGCAAGGGGCCGGGAAAAAGATGGCTTGAAATATGAGCAATCATATTTAAGAGCTTCAGATACAGTAAATACAGCAACAGCATAGTGGAGTGCATATATTGTGTTTAATTCAATCAAACAACATAGCCCCAAGGCCTTTATAGATCTGAATGGCAAGTTCAGAACTCAGTAGGCCTACATGTTTCATTTGATTTCATTTAGGTGAAATGATCTAATCATTCACGCAGAGATGCAATCAATGACAGGAGTTGTCACTACAGTATAGTAGGTGGGTTCGAAACCCGAGCCCGTCGAAGTTTTCAGGCATTGTCTACCCCTCTATCTCTCAATGTAACACCCTCTCTGGAATAAAGGCACTATGGCACAAAAAAAAAATCTTAAAAAAAAAAAAAAAAGATTACTTTTTAACATTATACTCAAAGGGCCAGTAAATATCACCCCGGGGCCGGATTTGGTCCGCGGGCCGCCAATTGAATAGCCCTGCTGTAGGGAGTAAAACTCTAACACAGAGAAGACCTCTCTGCTGCCCCAGAACACCTCGTTGGACATTTCTCTTTTTCCATTTTTTTCTTCCGGGGGCCATTGACGTAACGCTGCGGAGCTCTGCACACACACTCACTGCTCAGACCCCACGCAGCAACCAGGAAACTACAGCAGTAACCCAGCTCACACTGTCCGCTCCTCGAGCCTCACAGGGCGGAGCAGCGAGCCCCCCAGCGTCCCCCCAACACGGCACCCAGACCCCACGCAGCATTCTCATGTTTGTCCTTACTGGGGTCATTTCCTGGTTGCTAACAAACGCCATTGTAAAACATAATCACTGATGTTCTGTAACGGTGGTGGACTCATCAGAACAGAGTGGGCGAGCTGACCAATCAGAGCACAGTGGGCTCACAGGGAGGGGGGGGGGGGGGCAGGAGCTCCAACAAGCCGTGTAGGACAGAGTGAATACACAGACTATACAGAGATGCTGTGAGAAACCAATGTGAGTTTGGAACATTGAACAATGTCAATCTATTCTAGTAGACCTCCACTATGGAACTATGATCCATGACAAATGGCCGTGACATGGGACCTTTAAAGTAAACCTATATTGTAAAAAAAAAAGACTTAAAGGTAGTTTGAGAAACCGGCTGGAGAGACACTTGTTATATTCCATGGAATGCTCTTAACATCCTGATAGCAATGAATATCTGAAGTGCTTTGACAACAAATCCATAAATAAATATCTGTGGAAGCTGTAGTACTGTAAAAAGCACGACCAATCATCTGAGCCGGCCCGGCTAAAATAACTGGATGGCCTACCTGCCTGTCAGCCTTCCATCTGTGCACAAACTTATCTCGTGCCCTCATTGGTCATGTGCGCGTTCGTGTGTGTTGGAGGAGGGGCTCTGTGAGGAAGTGGCAGATTTTCTCCGGTTGTGTATTTTCAAATTCTAGCGCACTCGAGCTGGTTTCTCAAACTTACCTACCCCACCTTTAAGTAATGAATTATTACGCATTATATATATATATATATATATATATATATATATATATATACACACACACCTTTAAAGAAAATGTCTGAAGTCATTTTTTTCTTCTGACGGTTTCTGAGAATCGAGCAAAAATCAAAATGGCCGCTAAAGTACACAACAGTTTTCAATAAAATATGATCATGCTTTTAAAGAGATCTCTATATATGAGGTGAGCCTCTCAGCCAATCAGCAGTCAGAACACACATGTTGTATAAATCTTTATTGTTTGTTAACAGGAAGGAAACTGAGCTGCAAACATGATCAAATACAAGAGAGAACAGTGTGTTCATACAAAAACTCCTACTACCCAACATCAACTGAATATTTCAAAATAAAAGAATTCACAGAAACTCGAGGTCGTCGTCGTCAGTCTCGGCCGCGACTCCCGGCACTCGAGGGACTGCAGAGAGGGAGGGGTTCATGAGCAATTAAACATTACAGAGTGTGTGTGAGTGTGAGTGTGAGGTAGGCCCAAACCGCCCCCTACACACTACCCCTACGTTCGCGCGGAGGGTCCGCCACATTAAGGTCTGTTCCAAACCAACGAGTGTGGAGCGGGAGTGGGCTATCAAGCCCTCAAACAGCGAGTCTGCAGCGGTGCTGACTGGAGACTGGTCTCTACCTGACCGGAGTCACGCTGTGTGTGTCCGTCAGGAAACACGCTGCGTGTGTCCGTCAGGAAACACTCTGCGTGTGTCCGTCAGGAAACACGCTGCGTGTCCGTCAGGAAACACGCTGCGTGTGTCCGTCAGGAAACACGCTGCGTGTGTCCGTCAGGAAACACGCTGCGTGTGTCCGCCAGGAAACACGCTGCGTGTGTCCGCCAGGAAACACGCTGCGTGTGTCCGCCAGGAAACACGCTGCGTGTCCGTCAGGAAACACTCTGCGTGTGTCCGTCAGGAAACACGCTGCGTGTCCGTCAGGAAACACGCTGCGTGTGTCCGTCAGGAAACACGCTGCGTGTGTCCGCCAGGAAACACGCTGCGTGTGTCCGCCAGGAAACACTCTGCGTGTGTCCGCCAGGAAACACGCTGCGTGTCCGTCAGGAAACACGCTGCGTGTGTCCGTCAGGAAACACGCTGCGTGTGTCCGCCAGGAAACACGCTGCGTGTGTCCGCCAGGAAACACTCTGCGTGTGTCCGTCAGGAAACACGCTGCGTGTGTCCGTCAGGAAACACGCTGCGTGTGTCCGTCAGGAAACACGCTGCGTGTGTCCGTCAGGAAACACGCTGCGTGTGTCCGCCAGGAAACACGCTGCGTGTGTCCGCCAGGAAACACGCTGCGTGTGTCCGCCAGGAAACACGCTGCGTGTGTCCGTCAGGAAACACGCTGCGTGTGTCCGTCAGGAAACACGCTGTTAAAAAGTAGTTCCAGCAAACATCCACTGATAAACTGCGATGTTAACAACCTCATGATAACCTCATATTTTTTTAACTTAGGATCATACCTGTGTTTAGTCTAGAAAAAGGTAAATGTGTGCATTTTATTATAAAGTTGTGTATATTTACAGACTGTTGCAAAAACTAAGAAGCTTATAAACATCAGGTTTGAAACTAAAAGAGCTTTACAAAAAAGTAACACAATGAAAGATGTTTGTAGTTTTATTTGAGTTATTAATTTACATGTTGTGTCAAAGAGATGCTGATTTGAAACCGTTGTTACAAACAGTTACGGCATTTCCTGTTTCTGAGGAGAGGGGAGTTTGTCCCAAAGCTTGCTGCTGTATTTACTCCCTCCATCTGACAGGAGGGAGCCTCGTTGAGCTGAGAGTGAGGCTACAGACGGAGTTCACTCCGTCACGGAGGGGTAGGGTCGAGGGAGTGGTTTGGGATTGGGCCTGAGAGTGTGTGTGAGTGTGAGTGTGTGTGTGTCTGTGTGAGTGTGTCTGTGTGAGTGTGTGTGAGTGTGAGTCAGAGTGAGTGTGTGTGAGTGTGTGTGAGTGTGTGTGTGTCTGTGTGAGTGTGTGTGAGTGTGAGTCAGAGTGAGTGTGTGTGTGTGTGTGTGAGAGAGTGAGTGAGTGAGTGTGAGTCAGAGAGTGTGAGTCAAGAGAGTGTGTGTGTGTGTGTGTGTGTGTGTGTGTGTGTGTGTGTCTGTGTGAGAGAGTGAGTGAGTGAGAGTCAGAGTGTGTGTGTCTGAGCCAGGACTCACCTCCTGGCTGGAGATCCAGAGCGGCCCATGGATCCGGACCTGCAGACACAGAGGTCAGATTTATTGTGAAGGAGACAAGAAACCACTAAACTGACATCTGAGTCTCTTATTGTGAAAGTCTCTCCTCAGTGATCGTTACAGGACTCTTATTGTGAAAGTCTCCCTCAGTGATCAGGACTCTTATTGTGAAAGTCTCCCTCAGTGATCAGGGCTCTTATTGTGAAAGTCTCCCTCAGTAATCAGGACTCTTATTGTGAAAGTCTCCCTCAGTGATCGTTACAGGACTCTTATTGTGAAAGTCTCCCTCAGTGATCAGGGCTCTTATTGTGAAAGTCTCCCTCAGTGATCAGGGCTCTTATTGTGAAAGTCTCCCTCAGTGATCAGGGCTCCTATTGTGAAAGTCTCCCTCAGTGATTGTTATAGGACTCTTATTGTGAAAGTCTCCCTCAGTGATCAGGACTCTTATTGTGAAAGTCTCCCTCAGTGATCGTTACAGGACTCTTATTGTGAAAGTCTCCCTCAGTGATCAGGACTCTTATTGTGAAAGTCTCCCTCAGTGATCAGGGCTCTTATTGTGAAAGTCTCCCTCAGTGATCAGGGCTCTTATTGTGAAAGTCTCCCTCAGTGATCAGGACTCTTATTGTGAAAGTCTCCCTCAGTGATCAGGACTCTTATTGTGAAAGTCTCTCTCAGTGATCAGGACTCTTATTTATTTTTTTTTTTCTGTACTTATATAGCGCTTTATCCAGTCTTTAGGACCCCTCAAAGCGCTTTACATACTACATGTCATTCACCCATTCATACAGAGCAGTGTACCTTACTCTAGGACCTAACATTCACACACATTCACACACCGTTGGCCATGCCATCGGGAGCAACTCAGGGTTAAGTATCTTGCCCAAGGATACAACGACATGTTGACAGCACGGGCTGGGATCGAACCC